AACAAACAAACAAACAAACAAACAAACAAACAAACAAACAAACAAACAAACAAACAAACAAACAAACAAACAAACAAACAAACAAACAAACAAACAAACAAACAAACAAACAAACAAACAAACAAACAAACAAACAAACAAACAAACAAACAAACAAACAAACAAACAAACAAACAAACGGCGACATAGTAGCCCGAAATAAACTAAAACAGCAGACAAACGGCAGCAAGGGCAGTTTCGTGCTCGACCAATCAGCGCATTTGTGACGACTATGTCGCCGTTTGTAACAAGGGCAGATTTCGTGCTCGACCAATCAGCGCATTTGTTTACATTTTCGCTCTCAGCTAATCATAATGCAGGGAACGAGAAATTTACACCAAGGCGAGCTAGAAAATATTGCCGTCTTCTCGGGCTTCCGTGAGATTCAATTTTAACTTTTTAAATTTAAAACCAAAAGATTATGATGCAGCACATTAAAATCTAAAACTTTGCCATGGGCATTTTTAAATTTCGACCTAGAACTGAAAACATCCATGTTTGAAATTCTTCCCTATGTCGCGTATACAAATTTGAGTAATCTAATTTGACTGCAATAAAACTAAAAATTGCTACATTTTCTCTGCTTTTAAGTTTTTGTTAGAAAACTCCTTTTCTCTCTTGTTGCAAATTGTTTTGGCCAATGTTTTATATCAAAACCTAGACGATAACGCGTTTATAGCGCTTGATTTAAAAAAATATAGTCGCACACGCTCGCGATCATACGGGAATCAATACAAAAGTATTGTCCGACCGATTTTGCAGAAAATCAGACTCTCTAAATGCGTTATCTTCTAGGTTATAAAATAATATATTGACCAAAATGATTCTCAACAAGAGCGAAAAAGAGTTTTCCAACAAAAACGTAAAACAGAGAAAATATAGCAATTTTTAGTTTTATTGCAGTCAAATTAGATTACTCAAATTTGTTTGCGCGACATAGGGAAAAATTTCAAGCACGGATGTTTTCCGTTCTAGGTCGAAATATAAAAATTCCCATGGCAAAGTTTTAGATTTTAATGTGCTGCATCATAATCTTTTGATTTTAAATTTAAAAAGTTAAAATTGAATCTCACGGAAGCCCGAGAAGACGGCAATATTTTCTAGCTCGCCTTGGTGTAAATTTCTCGTTTCCTGCATTATAATTAGCTGAGAGGGAAAATGTAAACAAATGCGCCGATTGGTCGAGCACCAAATCTGCCCTTGTTACAAACGGCGACATAGTCGTCATAGACATAGCAGTCATAGACATAGTCGTTTGAAATAAACTAAAAACTACAGACAAACGGCCACAAACAAATGACAACGAAGTGGCCAGAAATAAACTAAAAACTACAGACAAACAAACGGCAACATAGTAGTCTGAAATAAACTAAAAACTACAGTCAGATAAACAAACGGTGGCATTGTAGTCTGAAATAAACTATGATAACTACAGATAAACAAACGTACGGCGACATAGTAGCCTGAAATAAACTAAAACTGTTGATAAACAAACGGCAATGAAGTAATCAGACATCACCAATAAGGCGTAGATAAACAAACGGTAGCGAAATACCTTGAAATAAACTGAAAACTATAGATAAACAAACGGCAGCGGCTCAAAAATATGAAGTAAAGTGTCGAATAAATTAACGTGAGTGTGAATAAATTAAATGACTTATGACGTCATGGGTGGTGCTGAGCTAGTGTACCACCTGCACCACCTGAGCCAGAACCCCCATTCACCTACTACTCGCCAACTATTAATTCTGAGAAGCTAAGGAGAGGTCGTGTGTTAGAGAATTATTTGACATGTTGGAAAACATGTTTTAATTCTTTAGCCAGGATATAGAATATCTACGAGTGTTTGATGTCGCTACCGTTAAGTGTTTGATATGAATGCGCTGTTTGTTTACATAACTACCATTAGTTATTATTAGCTGTGAATTTAATACACGAAAGGGGGCGGTATCCAAAATACATAGCCAAACCCAAAAGAAAAGCATCTGCCAGCCCGAATAAATTAGCCCAGTCCTAATTATGACAATTACAGAGCGGTTTTCATATCAGTATTATGCAACAGTATGTTATTGCTGGTAACCAACCATGCCTGACCATCGATCATCTAGTGCCACTAGTGAGTTCGTCATTCTTTTGCCGTATTTAAAAACTCGCAGAGAAATCCTGCACTAATTCGTGTTAGGCAAGAAAATTAACCTGAAAAGACCAGCTATGTACGTGATTAGTTCGTCTGAATGATCCGTTTTTAGTACTCGAGCTTGGATTGGTCGAAAAGAATGTTTCGCGTAGATTTTTTCCTTAAGTATAGAGAATTTGTATATTGATCGATATAAAAATGGTTCCAAAACATTTCTTGAGCTATATTACAAAAACTAGAAACCATTTCCCTTACTTTTCTATACAGATATATAGAAACACTTGTGGTATTATAGTTTGGGAGAAGTCGATCGCGAAATGAGAAAGATTACAGAATAAGCCCACAAAAGCCGCGCTATAATTATGAATTCGAAACGTGGCTACGTGCGATCTCGGCTGAGAGCCAATTAAATTTGGCAATTCTTAATTAACTAAATGCGTATTCTTATAGTTGTGGATGTCCATTAAATTAAAAAACCAGAGCTCAATCATCAGCTATCAAGAACAACGGTGGCCACAATTTGTGATCAGTACATTGCACACATGATGAGATTAAGGCCAAAAAAGCTTTTGATATTTTTATTCCTTGCAATGAATTCCTTTTTGATATCTTACATCATTCAACATAAATTGCAATCGTGCAAAAGAACTTCGAGGAAGGTACTACATCATAACTCTAAGTGTAAGAATCCTTATCACAAGTCGGACATTGGCCACAGCTTTCCTAAGAAGCCAACTATCTACTCACGAAAAGCAGATCATTTTCCTGAATCTCGACTTCATGTGGATACGTCTAAGGACGAGAAAAAATGCCCTAAACTGTACGAGATAGCTCGAGCGATGCTGGATGGTGAAAAGATTAAACTTCCCTACGAAACAAACCACACGAGGTGGAAATTTCGAGAGAGGATCGATTTAGATGTTCTTACGGAAACGTATCTTCACTGGAATCATCCGTGGCAGCAAGGAGACTCAACAGAAACGCGGCGAAAACTTCTAAGATATAACGTGTCAGCCAGAACTATACCAGCAAGGAAATATTTATTGACGTACGGTCACAACTGTTGTGAGATGTCGAAAAAAAGAGCAGTCAATCAAGGAATCGATGTTGGCAGAGTGGACTATGCTGAAGCTGTAGATTTGTCTCATCTATCTGTGCCTTTCCAGATCTCTCATCAAAACCTTCTGAGACATCGAAAAGGGGCCGGATATTGGTTGTGGAAATCCTTTATTATTCTCAAGACCTTATTGACTAAATTGAACGACGGTGATCTACTTGTTTACCACGACGCAGGAGCGTATTTCATAAACGACATAGGCCCTCTTTTTAAATTATGCATGGACGCAAAGCCCAATGTGCTCGCATTCCGTCAACCATACCAAGAACGTTTATTTACCAAACGAGATGCATTTGTACTAATGGGAATGGACGAACCTCGAGCATATGAAAAGAAACAGACTCAAAGAACGGCTGCATTGCAAGTATATATGAAGTCATGTACGACGATACAATTTGTAATGGAATATCTGGCGTATTCAGCTGATCGCAGAATCATAAGTGATGACAAAAACGTCATGGGTAAACCGAACTTGGAGGGTTTCCAAGGCAATAGACATGATCAGACAGTTTTTTCGCTGTTGTCAAAGAAGTGGGGAATTTTAGAGTTACGAGATCCTTGTACTTGTGGTCGAAATAAATTTACTCAAGATTATCAATACGCATCTGGGCCTTACCATTCTATGTATGTTCAGGACAGAGTAAGAGACTAATAATTAAACCCTTCATGTTCCAGAACGCTCAATTAATGGTCGAGTACATATATCATAACTTAGTAACAGAATGGCCACTCTAATACTGTGACAATGTTAGAATGTAGATTGAGTAAATACAAATAGCAATTAAACAATCATATATACTCTGTCACCGTTTCTCTATTTTGCATAATATTTCATACGACATTAGCATTAAATATCGTAAAAGATTTTGCAGTAAAATTGATGTTTTTCAAAATTATTCACGTCCTATTTTTAGTAGCTAAATATAAAAGGCAGAATTTCCCTGTGGAATGGATTGCGTAAACTGCGAGGGCTGTTTTCGGAATTATCGCTTTCGACATAAGCACCATTCGAAGATTCGCAGCCATCATAAAATAAAATCTAATCATGAGCCATAGTAAATTTGTCTGAGTGAATCTGGCTGCTAACTTAGGAGGTGTACTAGAACAAGTGTTTATCTGCTGTTGCCAAACGGTCAAGTCCTGGAATGTTGGTAATGGATGTCCTCATCGATAAATCCCTACTTAGGCAGGTTTGATTCCTGCTAGAGGGCCTATTTTGTTGCATTTGTCGCAGCTGCTTATTCTTAAGTACAACAAATGAATGTATAAAAATTTACACTTTGAAATTTCAGTCCACAAAACCCTTCAACATGCATGTGCATAAGTTACTTCAATCAAGTCAGAATGCCCAAAAGCAAAGTAGTCCCGATATTCAACCATGACTATTCAGCTTCGGCACTTGTTAAAAATGATACGTGCATCAAAACATGAGACTAGTCACATATGAATACTGCGTGTAGCGAACCATGTAAAGTTTCTATTCCTTAACTAAAATTCAAGTACGTTGATATTTAATTTAATTGTTGTGTTGGATATTTTTACCTGTTGTAAACTGCATGTTCTCACGCAGGTCCAGTAGTCCAATAACTATACAGGACAAAACTTCAACTACTGCATGCATGTATATACTAGAGAGTATTTGTATATGTTCTTTCTCCTCCACTGTTACTGCATGTATTCTTGCAAAATGGACATCTTCATGCAATCGCTGTCAACATTCGTCATATTATCTAGTTTTGAAATTTTACCAACAATAGTCAGTTATTAAACCGCTTTTTGCCAACGTCCAGCGTACGGTGACACTAAATTAAACTGAATAAACTTTATTTATGCTGGATTACTCTATCAGTGTTTTCCCGGAGTTCCTTTTGGTAATATACCATGATCGACACAAGCTCAACATTGAGTTGGAGGAGCGGCGGCTTAATTAAGAAGGGCAACATGATTCAACATGGAGTATAAAACTAAAACCTGACTATTCGAATTTTGTAAATGGGGGGAAATTGTCCACGTCTCAACCACTTCTGTCCAAGTATTGTACGTAGCTCTTTCACGTCTATAAGTTTTGTTCTCATCGATATTGGTTCGAGTGTACGTGTTTAGTTGACTGTCAACAACTTTAAAAGAAATTTCATAAACTGTACGTCAAAGGCAAACATATAAAAGACACTTGCTATTGTGTTGCGAACACAAACAAAAATTTCAAGTAGATAGTAGCACTTTAATTTCGTGAAAATTCGAATATTCGATTTCGTGACTGCTAAGCCAAATTAAATACTTCTGTTCGCAATAAAATTTTTGGACATAATTATATATGTATAGATGTTAATTATTATATAGATCCTATTTCATATGTCAAAATATAACTGTTTGGTATTTGCGGAATTATTACGTTGATTTGTATTACTAGCCTATTATAGCTTACTATTATTTAATATTGCATGGACCTTGACTAGTATTTAACAATTATTGGATGAGGTTTTTGTGATATGCGGAATTATCAAGGTCGAGGTAAGCGTTATCAGCCGAGCCGAAGGCGAGGCTGATAACGCTTACCGAAACCTTGATAATTTTGCATATCGCAAAAACCGAATTCAATAATTGTTTTATTATACATTTGAAAAATAATAAACATAGTATTTTAATTTGCGATATGCAAAATTATCAAGGTCTCGGTAAGCGTTATATTCAATATGATTTCTGGCAAAGCTGTTCAAGTAAAACGTTTCTATAAACAAGTCTCCGGAAGTCCAACAGTTAAATTAATTACAAATATAGAAGAAACATATTATCGTTAAGATGTTAACGTATTAAAATATTAACTTGTTAAAGTAAACATTACAATTATGAAATGTACATTCATTTGAAAATTGAAATGTACACTCATTTGAAATGTACACTCATTCAACCTCACGCAACCTACACAAAATTCAGTTATCTGCTAGCAGATAACTCAGTTATCTGCTAGCAGATAACTGAATTTTGTGTAGGTTGCGTGATTGCGCGATTTAACTGTAAGCTCTTAGCCAATCAAATTGCTTTTACCAACTACAATGTATAATAAATATAATTATTATATAGCACTATAATGAAGACCGGACTTGGTCGAAAGCTTCGCCAAAACAAAACAATTATGTCTAATTTACGAAACAAACGCAGTACAAGGTCAAGGACACTGTGGTCAAGGATCTTGTTGTGCTATAAAAAGTGAAATACAATTATTGAAAACAAGATCAAAACACACGGTGGTAATGATAAACTTTTTTTTCTTCAAATAATAATAAATAGAATAATTTCGAACGTTCGGTACTTTAGAAATATTTTAAGCTTCGGCGTAATTCCGTGTGATTAGGGAGTTTACGAATGTAAGACGGTGACGTCAGAACGCCGGCTATATCAATAGAATGACATTAATCCTATAGCACAAAAGAAATGAACAATTAAAAGTCTAGCAGGGATTTTAGACGTCATCCAAGCTCTGTTGACAACGGCAAAATACATATTTTCACGTCGTGTATAGGGCGCTGGCATTGCAAGCCGTGACAGGTAGTTTTTCTAGCAGAGTTTATCAACATTGCTCCGAGAGTTAAAGCTCTGTTTTACTCGTTCGAAACTATTTTAAATTCATAAGAAAGTAAATCTAAGACAAGATTTCCATACAATCATTCGTTTCAACTGTTTGTTTAGCCGTCGTCAGTGTCGTCCTGACTTCGTCGTCTTACATTCGTAAACTCCCTAACGTCTACGACTTTCTCTGTTATTCTCCAAGGCGCATGGACAAGATAACAGGCTGTAAATTACAAGGAGTTGAATCAAGTCCATAAGAGTTATTCTGTCACGAAAAACGGTGACAAAATGGCACTTTTAGAGTTGATTCAACTCCTTGAAATTTACAGTGGCGTTAATACTGTAATGGGGAAAAAATCAAGTCTGTATTTTAGGCAGAAAGAACTTATAAGCTGTAAATTATGCATGTTACTGGTTAACTTTCTTAGTTTATCTCTATTCGCTCTCGAGATATTAAAGTTTAATTTAATAATAAATGAAAAAAATCTTTATGACAATACATGCAAGCGCATAAAAAATTCCAAAGCTGGCGGCAGTGTAAGTCGAATATTCCAAAATAATAAGATAATTGACTGAATATTGTTCATTCCTTTGACCAGTTTGCAGGAATGTTATTTTAGCTATAGGCTTCCCTCGCGTGTATCTATCAGGTTATTACTGCATGGAATTTTAAAGGAGAAGACTACGTTTACAACTGATGGTATATATAAACTAAAGTTTCCTAGATTCTGTGTTTACATATAATAAAAAGCTTAAGCATTTTACTTTTAATCCTCTTTGTTCAGACTCCTCGCAAATTCCAGTGAGAGGTAGTAATTATACACGCATGAATATTGGAATTTTTTATCGAGGTACGCGAAACGTGCAAGTCACACATAAAAAATTGCGAGGCACGTTTTATTTGCAGAAAAATATTAAATCAAAGATTAAATAGTGCTGGACGTTCCAAGTAAATTTTGACCTAAATTTTAATCAAATCCAATAAACTCAGTAATGGATGTCCTCATCTATAAATCCCCTCTTAGACAGGTTCGAATCCTGCTAGATAGGCTATTTTGTTGCACTTTTCGCTGCTGCTTATTCTTTGTTATAACTAATGAGTGTATAAAAATATATACTCTGAAATTTGTGTCCACAAAACCTTCAACATACATGTGAATAAGTTACTTCAATCGAGTCAGGCGCCCAAAGGCAAAGTAGTTCCGATATTCAACCATGACTATTCAGCTTCGGCCTTTTCAATTTATTCAATTTCATTGGTGTTATTGAAAGCATGCATCAAAATATGTGAGTCACACATGAATACTGTAGCGAACCATGTAAAGTTTCTATTAGATCAAGGAACTAAATTCAAGTAAATTGACATTAAATTTAGTTATTGTGTTGGATACCTTTATCTGTTGTAAACTACATGTTCTCACGGAGGTCTAGTAGTCCATTGTAATTACAGGACAAACTGACTTGAACTACTGCATGCATGTATATATATATACTATAGAATGTTTGTATATGTTCTTTCTCCTTCACTGTTGTTCTTACAAAATCTACTTCTTCATCCAATCACTGTCAACATTCGTGATATTATTTCTTTTTGAAATTTTAACAGCAATAGTCAGTTATTAAACTGCTTTTTGCCAAAGCCCATGCAGCGTACGGTGACACTAAATTAAACTGGACAAGCTTTATTTATGCTGGATTACTCTATCAGTGTTTTCCCGGAATTCCTTTAGGTAATATACCATGATCGACACGAGCTCAACATTGAGTTGGAGGAGCGGCGGCTTAAGAAGTGCAATATGATTCGACTTGGAGTTTATCATTAAAACTATGCGAATTTTGTAAATGGGAGAAAATTGTCTCAACCACTTATATCCAAATATTGTACGTAGCTCTTTCAATGCTAAATTTTGTTCTCATCTATATTGGTTCGAGTGTACGTGTGTGGTTGAGTAAACAACTTTCAAAGAAATCTCATAAACTGTACGTGAAAGGCAAACATATAAAAGCCACTTGCTATTGTGGTGCAAACACAAACAAAAATTTCAAATAGATAGTATAGCACTTCAATTTCGCGAATATTCGAACATTCGATTTCGTGACTGTTAAACCGAATTAAATACTTCTGTCGCAATAAGCTTTTTGGACATAATTATACATTTATAGCCTAGATGTCAATCATTATATCCTATTTGATATTTGAAAATATAACTGTTTGGTATTTGCGGAATTATTACGTTTATATGTAGCCTACTATTATAGCTTACTATCATTTATTATATAAAGTATAGTGCTTTAGAGATTTCGAGCACTGATAAAAGTGATAATCTCACATGTGAGATTATTTATGATAATCTCACATGTGATAATTATCGCTTTTCAGTAAAAATTATCGCTTTTCAAAGACTTCTTTATATATCATGTTCAACACTCGAAATAAATCTGGTATTTCCGCGCACCCATTTATTATTCCCTATTTTAGTAATACTGCATGGATCTTCACTAGTGTATATAATTATTATAGCACCAATGAAAACCGGACTTGTTCGAAAGCTTCGCCAAGACAAAACAATTATGTCTATAATTTAGGAAACAAACGCAGTGCGAGGTCAAGGATCTTGTTGTGCTATAAGTGAAATACCATTATTGAAAACAAGCTCAAAATGCATGGTGGTAGTGATAATCTTTTTTTTCTTCAAATAATAATAAATAGAATAATTTCGAACGTTCGGTACTTTAGATATATTTAAAGCTTCGGAGTAATTACGTGATTAGGGAGTTAAAATAGGTGATTTTACCAACAATAATCAGTTATTAAACTGCTTTTTGCCAAAGTCCAGCGTACGGTGACACTAAATTAAACCGGAGAAACTTTATTTATGCTGGATTACTCTATCAGTGTTTTCCCGGAGTTACTTTAGGTAATATACCATGATCGACACAAGCTCAACATTGAGTTGGAGGAGCGGCGACTTATAAGAAGGGGAACATGATTCAACGTGGAGCTTATCACTAAAACTATGCGAATTTTGTAAATGGGGGGAAATTGTCGACGTCTTAACCACTTCTGTCCACGTATTGTACGTTGCTCTTTCGGTGCTAAGTTTTGTTCTCATCGATACTGGTGGCGTCAAAACAGTACACAAACCGAAACAATCGTATATTTATACTCACCGCTTCGCCAAACATTCAAACGAGAAAAAGAGAAAAAGTTGAATATATTCTAAACTTTGGCATCATTTTCTGAAAGGCTATAGGTATAAAATACTCTTTGTATTCAAGCGCTTTCGTGTAGAAAGTTTCGTATGAGTACGGCGAGTACAAATATTTATTTTGAATTTTTCAAGGTATCGGGTTTTACTCGCAAGCGCTTGTATTACGTAATACTTCGCCAAATAAGGAGCTCCTTTAGCCGGGATGACGTCAAACTCACGCGTATAGGTGCTCTTTGAAATGTCTGGCATTTCCAGAGTCACGCGATACAAACTTCGCATTTTTAGAACCACTGAGTATTTTAATAAAATACAAAACAAGTGAAACTCCAGAAATAGATAACATTCTTATTTATCAACGTTTCGACTATATTTCAGTCATCATCAGGATAAACTAGCTAGGTAACATGTCAAAAGCGGTATTTATATGAAGAAATATGATACAATAATTAGGTTGATTATTAATGAATTAATTAAATATGATTAGTTCTTTAGGGCCTGTTCATATGATCCCGCTTACCGGGACGTCTCGCTTACCGATGATCTCGCCGCCTATCTATTTTCCTATAAAATTTTGCATTGTGTTCATATGGGAAAGCGAGCTGGCCCGCTTGCCGAGATCTCGTTTGAATTTGCCGAGATCATAGGTAGGCGGGATGAAAATTTTCCATATGAACACGCCAGCCCGCTTACCGGGATGAAGTGAAACAAGTCTTGCCGGTTTAATTTAACACTTTTTACTTGGTTTTATGTTTGTTTTGTAAACAAGTATTAAATAACCACCTGAAGCAATACTTTTTCTTGTAAATAAACGAAGAAAAACACTAAAATCGTCAAGTATTTGTGTTGCTTGACTGAAATGTAGAAGTTTTGCATACGCTAATTATAGAACTACAATGTAATTTCATCTCGGCAAGCGGGACGAAATACTCCATATGAACACACGGAAATATTCGTCTCGGTAAGCGAGACGTCCCGGTAAGCGGGATCATATGAACAGGCCCTTAGAAGCTTTAGGTCCATGATTAAGTTCAGGTTTATATCTTCGAATAGCGAGGGATTCTTGATACAACAAAAGGGACCAATGGTTAGATTTATCAATTATTTTAGTGTTGTGGAAAACATGTTCAGCCATTATACTGGTTTGCTCAGACTTTGCTTCATCGTCAGGATATAGTTCTAAAAGGGCTTTAATATGTTGAAACTGTTCGCAAGTAGAGAGGTGTTGATGGATTACAGATTCAGTGTGATATGAATGTTCCTTAGTTCTGGCGTATAAGCAGCGATCAGTTTTGCCGATGTACCTACCATTACATCCAGGGCAAGTAAATTCATAGATTACAGAGCTTTGATACGTTTTCGAGGTTTTATCTTTGTATGATACAAATACGTTGCTGTTAATGGTTTTCCAGTTAATAATGAATCGGCATTTTAATATGAGGAGAGGGGTTAGTTTACGTATCAACGAACGAGTTAGTCTTTAACCAAATTTGCCAAGATAGGGTAGCTGTAACCAGAAATTAGGAGTTGTGTTTGTTTCAGTCATTGTGGCTTCGTTGTCGTTGTCATTAGATACCGGTGGTGATGGTTTAAATTGGTTAATAAGTTATTGGGTTAATTTGCGAGGGAAACCATTCCAATACATGAAATTTTGGATTTAATTGTTTTAATTCGTTGTTCAGGAGAGTGGCATTACTGCATATTTTGTAGGCGC